CTTTAGGAAATAGAGAGCAGAGAAACAAGAGCTGGGTAAGTGCACCGTCAGGCAGACAGCACTGCAGTGAACTCCACACGTGTAAGATAGCTGGTATATACACCTCGGCCTCCCACCTCTCATGCCATCTACACTCTCAGTGGCACACACCGAAAAGCAGGCAGACCGATGGCAAATCTCAGTTGGAGAAAATAACCTGTAAATGTTGYACCAGCCAAAACACAGGGCAGCTATCTACCTCAGGCGGCCTCTCTGTTCCAGTGGAAGTTTTCATTAGCAAAACCTGGACACTCTAATTTGCACACCATGAGCAAGTCCTCCTGTCCTCTGCTTTGGCCCCAGRGCTGTAGATGACAGAGGATCCCACTGCTGACATGGAAGCCAGAAGGGTCTCCCACTGCTAGCAGTATGCCTGAGGTAGAGCAGGAGAAGGTAGAGCTCAGCCATAGCACAGGAAGCCCTTTGCCCCCATATTGCTTGTGTAACAGCCCAGCGCTTTGTGCCCGGATCACAACGCTAAGGCATCCCTCCCGCTAAGGCATCCTTCCCGAGTGAGCCCAGGCCAGGCTGTCATGGGACAGATCTTACTTGAGATCAAAGGTTATTTCAGGTCAGAGGACAGAAGCTACTTGTTGTCAAAGATTACTTTCTAAGGCAGATTTCCAGAATGTGACTAGTCCAGCCTCTGTCATAGGACAGCAGCTCTCTGAGATCACAGGTTACATGAGGCCAGAACGCAGAGGTTATGCTGGGTCAAAAGTCYTTTCAGGAGAAAGGTTACTCAAGGTAAAAGGTTATGTGAGGTTACAGGGCCAGGGTCAATTTATTTCAAATGTTACTCAAGGCCAGTGGGCAGAGGGTATGTGAGGTCAAAGGTTACTTCCAGCCAAAGGTTAAATGAGGTGACAAGTCCCTCAAGGTCAAGAGCTAATTGAGGACACAAGACAGAGGATCCTCAAGGTCAAAGRTTATTTAAGGTCCAAGGACAGAAGCTCTTCAATGGCAAAAGTTCCTCAGTCACAGAACAAAGGTTACTCTAGGATAAAGGTTACTTCAGGTCACAGGACACATTACTCTAGGTGAAAGGTCCCTTGAGGTCAAATCTGATTTTGGTGTAAACCTCACCACTGCCCACACTGATGCCAGAGCCAAGTCTTCGGCATTTTTTGTCACCTGGATGCTGGCAGTTGTCACGTGCATGTGTCCCATGAGTAGGGTCTGAGACCAGCGGGACTGCTAGGCCCMTAGCCATGTGCTGGCTCACATGAGCCTCCAAGGAAGGGGGCTGCAGGCAAGCTGCCCACTGGGAATGGCCCTTCCACTGCCCTGCCTTCCCAACAACACACTGCACGTGGCTGGAGAAAGCASCGTTGGGAACAGGCTACCTTCACACCAGCAAACACTCCAGCAGCTTACCAGCACCAAGAACAGCACTCCAGCACCCAGGAGTGCTTCAACTTGGAAGTGCAGAAGCAGACAGGCATTGCCATGCAGAACTGATGAATGGATTAAAGGGGAAAGGACCAAAGAGACCAACAGCAGTAATTTGTGGTGAAGCTTCAGTGCTGGTTTTGCAATGGCAGTTGCCTTTTCCTTTTCATGCTTGATAGTAAACACTTCTTTTTCACAACCTGATCAGTAAAATTGGTAGCCTTCTCACAAGGCTTTAGAAACACTAAAAAAAGAAAAACAAGGAAAAAAAGAGCACAATACAAAAACTGAGATACAGTTGCTAGCACCAGGGACTATTATACTCAATTAGGGGAATTAGATGCAAGAATAAAATCATTACTTGAAATTAAGAGTAACTGTATGCTTGCCAGTAAAAGTTACTAGAGTTCCAAACTTGAGTCCAAATCAGAAACATCTCAACTTTATACTCAAGTTTTTCACTATCAGAATACAGAACTGTAAGGAAAAGTACTTAGAACAGTGCAAGGAAAAAAAATCAGTAATTTTTCTTTTAATGTAGCACTATCTAGCTATCATGAAAAAAAGGAAGTAATTTCTCATAAAAAGGAAACAGTGATCATTTCAAATGTTTCAAAAAGTACACCTGAAAAGTTAGCATATTGAGTAATGTCAGCTGAAAGCAACAAGAACCCCAAATCCTTCCCCATAAACAATACAAAAAAAGCAATTTTGTGTGTTGCTCTGCTATAATAGCTCATCTTTTCAAGCACTGAGCCTTCCCAAAGTTTCTTTTAAACTATACATAGTGTACTCTCAAAAATTCAGGCAGCTTCACTCAATAGAATAAAACCAAAACTCAAACCAAAACAGACTGCTCAGCTTAGTCTGTTTTAATGTTCTGCCAGGATAAATACATGCCAGAAAACAGCTTCTGAGATGCAAGTAATTTCAGAACTAAACATATTTTAGTAACAAGCAAGCACATCTCTCGGCTACTGCAGAGAAAAAAATAAACCTCTTTTCTAAAGAATTTTCTTGTGATTTTCAGCTACCTGACAACAGATGAGGTTGTTTCATTATGTGAMGGTTCAAATATTGCCTCAGTGTACTTTGAAATAACAAAGGGCTCTATTCAATCTAATTCAAACCAAATCCCACACATCAGCCCTAAGAGTACTCAGAACAATGGGACAACAGTCAAAGAACCATCATTAGCTGGCAGTGTCAAACTAGTGGTCAGGAAAGAAGACATGTTTTCTACATGGGCTGAAACTACATTAAATTAAAAAGAAAAAAAAACCGAGGAAATACCTACTAGTCCTGCAACAGTTTGGTATTTCACTGATGATCTGCGATTAGTTTGCTTCTTAAGATTTGCTTTTCTCACTAATTGCATTGAAAGCTTTTACACAAGATTAAATAAATGCTTAATCTCAAAGCTCTCAAAAGACATGAGTGTAAACTTTTCCCTCCATACAGCAACTGAAACAAAAATGGTATAACAAAGACTTTTCCTAAAAAAAATAAATTAAAAAAAAAAAATTAAAAAAGAGATTGACTCCTTGGAGTGCCCATGGGGACAATTTATCTGCTTTTATTAGCTGCCCTTACAACTTCTTTTCTTGCTGCCCATGCTTTGATACCCACGCTGCAGGGAGTCTTGTGAAACTTAGCCTAATATGAGTTCATAAAAACAAACTTYTAAAGTTTTCTTTAATCCAAGTGAAGGCACAACCTTAACCATTTCTTTCTCATATATTCARAGGGAAATGCACCCCATCAGCTTTGGAAATAAACACAATTACTRGGATCTGAACATGGCTATTATTATAGAGCAGTTGTAGATGATATGCCTTCACCACAGCACAAACATTCTTGGGGGCCCATAACTTGTTTCCATCCTTTCCAAAACAACATTTGTCTGAACCCAAAGGACTCAAGAGAAACACCATGAAATCAGGTTTTCTAACTGATTTTTTTAATAAACTATAGAAGAACAAGGTAACATTTCAACCAAAATCATGACAACTGCATGCTTAAAAGCAGGTACATAACATGTCTCTGGATTTTTCTGTTTTCTTTAGAAAAAAAAAGGAGAAAAACCGAACATAATGCATAGATTTCTACACATATTCAAATAATAGACTAAAGCAAGCAGAAACACAACTGGAAAAAATGTTTTGACAGTAATTCCAGATCTATGAAATTTTAAAAAGGAAATTTCAGTTCTAAGAATCTTTATGCTGAACCAAATTACTTTTTTATACAGCATGAAAATAAGTTTTATCAATTGAGGCACTAGAAACAAACTTACACAACAGCTCTAATCTGTGAACTGAAAAACCTACAGGCCATGGCATACTAAAAATTTAAAAGGTTGCATTAGACTTGCACTTGCTCACATTGACACAGTGAAATTGGTGGAAAACTACTGTTTTTCCAGTTAGAATAAAATCAGGTTCTGATTGCTGATTCCAAACACTTATCTTCCTAGCTTTTTCTCATTGTCCTCGCTTGCCTCATGTATTCTATCGGAAAAAAAAATTGAGAGGTTCCTGTGCCACCCCATTCAGCAATGTTTATAAAGAAATGCAAAGCACCTGTCTTTGTGCAGTGGCTTTGTCTATGGTGCTGTATTCCCTTACTTCAYCATGTTCCCCACATCACTGAGCTTCTACAGGTTAGTACAATCGTTTAGAACAAGGTACTCAATAGGTTCTAGATGGGATGCTTATTTCTACTTTTTGATCCACATTTTCTATGGGGGTTAGYGAGTATTAAAGACAAGGAGTCTTCACACAGCAAGAGGAATGATCACAGCAAGAGGAACTTGAGACAGAAAGAAAGGAGCTCATATGAATATGAATGCTGCTTTCTTTATGAGGAAGAATATTCATGATCCAGTGAKGTTTCCACCCAGATGCTACAATAACTGGCACCTCCAAACACCTACATTAAAGTATACCTCGATATCTTCATCAGGCACTTAAATAGAAAAACAAAGGAGTGACATTTAGTAACACAGATACTGTGATAGTTATTCTGTAAGGCCAGAACACCTTGGGTGAAGCATTCAGAAAACTAACTGTCCCACATAACTAAGTAACTCTTATCAAGGGCTAAATGAAAGGAGAATCCCTCATTAGACAAGCCTGTTAAAAAAAAAAGGCTTAAAAATGGTTAGCAAATATTTGGTAGAAGCCATTAACCCCAAACTTAGATTCTTCACTATYGTATGTAAAATGCAGTGCAAGGTTATTTATCCCTTGAGATGATGGATCCAAAAGTAAACATTCAATGTGTTTTAATCTTCAAGATTTTCTTTTTCCCAAAGAAAAGTTTTTCCACTGATAACAAGCTCCCTGAGGGAATACATCAATTTTTTTCAAGGGAAAAAAAGCAATCATTTAAAAAACATGAACTGCAAAGCTCCAGCAATAGTTGCCCTATTTTGAGCCAYAACACATTTCCCAGCAACACTTCTTTGGAAAAGGCAAGTTAGAACAACTATTCACTGGTCCTGTAAGAGGACCCYGACCTCCCTTCTTTTACATAGTATCCTGCAGATGACAGTATTCATTCTTTAAAAATGGTAATGAATGTATTTCAGTCCGACACACTTCAAAGTTATGTGAAAACTCTACCTGTAAGACTTCATCTACCAACACTTAAATGGTTAATTACAGATTCTGTCACAAAAACACAGAATCAAGAAAATTCACTTGTAAGGCTAAACTCTTGAGAATTTCTTTCTGTTCTGAAAGTCAAGGGACAAATGAAACAATCTACAGACACACAAAACACATTTTGATGGTAATGAGAATGCCAAGTGTTTAAACCRTTCTTAAGTAATTTATTTCTTTTTACTGATGATTTACAAGGCCTTGATTAATAGACAAAATAGCATATTTTAACTAAACTAAAAAAAAAATACAAACCAATAGAGTATAGAAGAAAATGCTATATGGTTCTGTAGAATATATCACACCCAGTGCACACACTGCTTTATTTTTCTCATCTGAACCTATTTATTACTTACAGAATTTTTGCAAACAAATATTTTGGTCTAACCAAAATGTAGTGTACAGCTTCAGACTGCTGAATTAGGCTCGAATTCTGGCATTAGTCTATGRTCTAAACCACTGCAGTAGATCTTTCAAAGAGTTTAGTGTAATAAAAACTGATCTAGACACTTTGGAGCAGTTAACAAGAGACAGGAATTATAGCTGCAAACAGTTCAGTATGGTACACTAACCAAAGCTAGAAGTTTTAGTACACTYATTGCCAATTTCTCCCAAATTTTAACAAGCAGAGCTTCTTTGCAGAGACTTTATTGCTGAGGGTAATAAGGCTGTTGAGGAAAAGGGTATCCAGGTTGTTGAGGTGGCGGATATGGTGGTTGTCCAGGATTCTGATACACAGGTGAGGGTGCATAGGGCAGATTATACTGACCGTACATGTACGGATTATAGCCCATGGGCATTGGCATCTGGCAATACCTGTGGGGAGGAGGGAAAAAGCATACTTGAGTTGAAAAACACTGATGATGTTAATCTGCARAAACAGCTCATTAGTAGATACAAAAAGACATGCAATCTCCACAAAWGCTTTCATTTTACTTTGAGTGCAGCAGGAAAYGTTGTAACTTTCAAGGAGCAAACAYGGAAACTATTACAATGTGTGSAGCAGAAATGCAGACAGAGTATGGAGTAAAGGCAACTTGCTGATCTAAATTGATTCTCAAATGTTCAGTAACATTGTGCATATCTCAACATTTGCTGAGCCTCCTACCAAAGGAGAGTTCAGCTGCCTTCAATTGCTTGTGAAGACATGAGGAAGATGGGAAAAAGCATCAGAAGAAAGCACACTACTCAACTGGAATTTTATCAGTATTTTTGATTATGTTAAGAACATGCTAAAGATTTGAAAATAAGATATGCCAACACTTTCGAGATAAACTCCACCAACTGATTATGTAAGTGCTGGCAATAATCAACAAACCAGAGTTATGGAAATGCAGTCCAATTTTCCTTCTTTAAAGAAGACAAACAGTAAACACTTAAAATGAACTCTCCCACAAATGTACCAGCAAATGATTCCTACAAGAATTACATTATTAAAATTAACAAAATAACCCCAAAGAAAAACCAAAAAATCCCCCAAACAACAACCAAAAAACCAAATAAAACCAAACAAAAAACAAACAAAAAAAGCCTTGCCTCAAACAGTAAACGTATCTTTAACTGTAACAATAACTAATTTTAAAATGTCACACACAAGAAAAAAATGCTTTTAAGTAACAGGATAACAAAAATCTGCTTAAGAGCTCGCACAGCTTACCCTGGGTAACCGGGATAAGTTGGGTAAGGTGGTCCCTGTGCCTGTGAAGGTGCAGTCCCCGCTGCGGGTGCACTGGCACCTGGAGTAGGAGTCGGAGCAGCAGGAGCTGCAGCTGTTCCAGAGGGTGCTAAYGCAGAAGGGGAACTGCTTGCCGCAGAAATCACTGGTGGTGGTGGCCGTGCTGGTGGCTGTGGTTTACCCCCCTAACAAGAGAAAGTGAATTAAGCTGGAGCTTTTTTTCGGAAGTCTTGGATTCAAAAGCTGTGGTTGTATGATTAATAGATTTTTATTTTAATTTTGAACAGACTTTCCATATTTAGTCTATACAGATAATGCAAAGCATCCAAAAGGCAGTAAGATTTTAATTTCAAATCTATAAATTATGAACATGAATAGTATATAACACACCCCTCTGCAAAGCCTTAGATTTTGCCCTCTATTTCACTTCAACACATTTCCAACTACACCAGTATATTAAGGAGTGATATACACAAATTACAGATCAGTTTAGAGTTCTCAAGTATGGACCCAGTATTTTCAACCCACTAACTCAGTAGCATGTATTTACCACCATGGTTCTTGGGGCTGGAGTGGGAGTCGGCAATGCTGCTGGCTTACTTCCYGCTGCTGGAGTCGTCTGATACGCAGGCAGTGGAATGGAGGGAGCACTGGGCTCCCTGGCAATGCTTTGCTGCAAATCTCTATTAAAAACAAACAAACCAACATGCAGCTTAGTTTAAGAACCGTTTGTTATACACTGCARCAAGCTAAGCCAAAAGATGCAACAAAATCTAGTATTTGAGGCATGATCACTGAACTAGCTCAAACTAAATTTGGAGTCCAAATCACTTCCACAGAAACCATCCTMTAGCCAATTCCATGATTAACTGTTACATTTATTCTCTAATAATGTCTTTATGTTCAAACTCAGTACTGGGTATAGATCACAAAAGTAGCTAAAACGGTAAGAAGAGCACAGCAAGACTCAGCAGAATGTTCTATCAGCACTAACCCTACAGCCTCAACAAGGAACATAAACATATTAGAGATGTGAGATATTCAGACCTCTGATTTGGTTAGAGAGTCTAACAGCTTCCAAATTACATGAATGTAGGAAGCCAAGTAAAGCCAGAAGGGGTTGTAACTCAGAATTTGTTTACAAGCACAATGCCCAGATGAAAAACAACAGCTCTACAAAGGATCAAGCTAGGAAAGATGAAAGTTCAGGGCTGAGAATCCCATTTGCAACAGGGCAAGTATACTGAACGCCTGCAGTTTCACCAACCCAAATTTCAGTAACAAGTAGTCTTTTCTTATAAAAGGCTATGTGCTTTGCTAACGAAYACTGATTAAAAAGCAAATCTTTTCAATTATGTTTTCCTCTTAAGAGCCTAAAAATCACATCTGAAACATACTATACTAGTTCTGATCTCATGTGGGGGACAATGACAATGACTATTTCAAACACTCTTGCTCACATGAAGGACAAAATTCTCTCCCCAGCACCGTAGGCAACCCACATCTCTAAGCAATGAGATATGAGACTAGAGCAGGCTACAGAGCACAAGTAGAATATCAATGCTATTCCCCATCACACTGAACACATGGAAGGAAATCATATGATGAATCTATCTAATTTCTCAAACTAAACTGACAGCAGGAGCAGGGTGCAGAAATCAGAAATTACTCAAAGGAAAGAATAAAATGAAATGACTAACAAATCTATGCCAAAAAGAATAGAGAGTGAAATCATAACATGAAACAGACTCATGCTGAACTGCACACAGGAACAGTAAAGCAGACTTCAAAGTAGATTTTTCCCATTTATTTCTCATATCAGTTTCCTAGCAGGRAGGAGAATGGAACTAGCATTAAAGGAAAGAAGTGGTAGGGCTTAGCACACCTATTCTTCCTTTCTCATCTCATCAAGGACCATACTAAAAATTTCAGATAAATAATTAGCCATTTCTGTAATACTTAAAGAGAACTGAAATCTTACTTGAGCAGTTCATCTCTTTCCGTCTTGCGAGCAAAGACAATGTCACTGCACTTGTTTTGGAATTTCAGCAGGATTTCCGTCAGCTCATTGTAAAACTAGTAAAGAAAAATAAAAACACAATATGCGCAATCAATACTTTCTCACTCCATGCTAGCATACTTCCACATATTGATCCAGTTATAGGTGTTGTATTATTACAATGCCCACAACCTGCCACTCCAATAAAGTCTGCTAGTACCTTCTATTATGCTTTTCAAAACAAAAATTAGTCAGCTGTTGTTGCTAATCCCTGTACTATCGTAATTTTGGGGGGATTTGCGTGTGCGCATGTAAATATAAAAACAGTTTAAGACAACTAAAAAAATTATTAAAACCAGAGCAAAACTAGTGCTGAACAATTTATTCCTGTAAAGGATAATTGTTTCTTTTTATTTTAATTGTATTGCTCTCAATTCCATGCTTTTCATTTCTATAGGTTTCTCAGAGGTTGATTTTTTTCCTTCTAATGAGGTATCAATAAAACAGCAAAAAATACCTAATACAGAAGCACTAAGACACCTTCCAGGAGCCTGTATCRAAAAAAGCAAGCTAAATACAACTCTCCTCAGTATCTCTCATGTATGCAGTAACAACATTTAAAACACCAATTTTATGARGGGATTAAATACCATGGGAAAACAGATGAAAGAATTTCTCAGATAAAATGGCTCATCTGGGTGCTTCAGCATCATTTACTCAGATGTAATTAACAACTTATCCTATTACTCAGAAAAGCTTACTCTTCAGRTAGGAACAAAGCAGCTTTTCACAGGTGTTGAAACAATCAAAATTCAAGCAACTCACTGTCCTTGCTTCAGTAGTAAAATCCTTAAAAATAACTGTCAACTAGCATTTCTGCAAAGTTTATTATGATTTTTAATTCACATCTCATTGTATAAATAAAAAGAGTCCATTCAATCCCTTAAGCATTGGCATACCTTTGTTCCTTCTTTTAAATTGGCTACGAGTTCCACAAAGTTGTCATTTGCTACAGCTAAGTTCTTCAAGACTTCTTCTCTTAAATTAGATTCATTGTTTGATTGTTTCATCTTTGAAAAATCCTGATGTGCATTCTTAAAAGAAAACAATAAGTAAACAGTGTAAATAATGCAAGCTAGTTCCACATAAGTTTCTGTATGTTTAGTTTTGTTTTTCCTCTTACTCATTGYTTCTGTTTTCCCCAATACCTGCTTCTCCTCACCTCCGATCCACACACTGGACTTCCACACTTGCTATCTGCCAAGCGCTGTGACTATTATAACATGTATTTCAGAACTGTACATGTGTTAATTCACTGGCAGTAGGCATCACCAGTTAATTACCAGTTCTGTTGTGGGCTGCCTTTAAYAATTCTCAAGCTCATCCTGCAGACTGTCTTTGCAACTAATTATGCTCTCTCCTGCACTAAACTTCCACTGATATTCATAAAATCATACTGAAAGTGAGTATTTTAAAGAAGCACTCCTTGAAATTTGGTTGACATTGGCAAGCTATTAAAAGGATAGGGAAGAAGAAAATTTACAGAATTTTCTTTACATCTCATTTCTTTCAGGAAAATAAACAAGCAAACTTTAAAAGACTGTTTGTTTCAACTGCCAGAAGCCAACAAACTTGAACTCCRGGAATTCAAACATTACAGTAATATCCATCAAAATTTTTTAAGTATATTGTGCTAAATATACAAATACAAAACCCTTGCTAAACATGGTGTATATGATCATTGAAGAACAGATTATTTTTCCMTACTGGAAAAAGTCTCCATCATTAGTCAAGTTGCTATTGTGATGTCTCCAAGCACTAAGACTTCCTCTTTTGTCAGATGTTTCAGCTACCTAGYTCTGACAAATTAAGACTGAAGCTATAAATAACTTTTGGGAAATTCTATGAAGTTTTACTTCAATGAGCTTTGCACATGCTGGAAGTCAAGCACATGGTAAAGAGCAGTTAGGAATAAACCAAGCTGTACTTCAGAGACTCAAAATGTCTTCTAGTAGATAGTACAGACAGGTTTCCTGTTATCCCAGAAAGAATTAAGATAGAATGAGGGGAACAAAACAAATCCAAAAACTTCTTAACACACCACTTAAGCYACTTTCAAAAACAAAACCATGTGCAGAATTGTGCCAAGAAAAGGTTCAAGAGAATTTACACTGGAGCTGTGGGAGAGTCTGCTAAAAATTCACATTTCTTTACAGTGAACAGAAAGACATCTCTGTATGTTTCAATGATCAAGGAGTAAATGAGTATCAACTGACATGTGACAGAATAACAAGTAGAACAAACTAGAAAGCAGAGTGAGTTTTCTAAAGCACTAGAAAGGTAGAAGTATCATTGCTCTTAGTTTAAGAGGAAGGAAAACATGCAAAGTGGCGTACCTGAATGTTTTTGAGAAGTTCTTCCTGCTTTTTTAGGGACTCCTGCACTTTCTGTGTGTAACTTCCATAAATYCTGTCCAGCTCAGTCACAGAGATAGCCTCCTCATTTATAGCACCATCCTGTGCAAGTGCAGTCAGGAATTTGCTTGTCATGTCAAAATTTACAGATTTCAAGTCATTTTCCAGTTGTTCTCTCTCCTTCTTAACTTCATCCAGACTGGCCAGCAAAGTTCGTAAGACATTTACAACCTAGGCAATATAAATGTCCTCAGTTAGCAGGTTTAGAGGAACTATTGGAGAATTATAATCTATTAATAACTTGCTTCCATCTTGYACTCCTCACTGATGCTGGTAACACTTCCACATAGGTATTTGCTTATGATTGAATGCGTTTAAGATGAGAAAACAGGACAAAATGTGACCAAAGAAAGATCTTCAAGCATTTCTCAATCTATTATTCTCTTGCACAGGTTTGCTTTTGCTAAGACTGRATTAGTGCAAAATGTTTTGATTTTTTTTTAAGATGATCAGATACCTTCAGATGGCAGTAAAATCCACAGACTTCAAATCATTTCTATGAGAAAAATAATAATATTGCTGCAGATGAGCCATTAATTTCTTGGAAACCAAACTGCTGTAATTGCCTAATACTTTAAAATACTGARCCATGTCTTACACAGTGCCAGGAACCTCAGCACTACATCTCACKTCCCTACTTAACAAAAATATTCATCAAAGATTACTCCTTTTCTAACAGTCAACCAGTCTTGCTTTCCATGGCGATTGACTTTGTCCCATTAAATGCAAAAAAAAATTACTCAAGAAGATTTTAAACATAAAGACAAGYTCTTTTCCAAATGTTAATTACCTCTTGTATCAATTGAGCCAGAAACAAGAGCAGCTAAGGATCAGCTTCCACACCAATTCACGTAAGTTTACTTTGTTAGACAAATAACGCTTCTAWTCAAGATAGAGACAAATTGCACTGCTTTACCTCATTTCCCTGTAATGTTTTTGCTGGGTTGGCAGAAGGAATGGCTGCGTTGAGTTCTGCCTCTGGCTTACACAGAAGTGCAATCGTATCCCGGTGAGTCTGATAGCGCTCTTTCACCTGCCCATCTGCTTGCATAGCTTTATTCAAAATATTATGGTAATTGGCTCCCTCTGGGGGTAGGAGAAAAAAAAAAAAAAAGGGTGTTTATATAATTTCAAGAATTGTTTTATCCAAGTCTTGCACCTGAGCAGTTTTTGTGCTTTTCAGCTAGTCTTCATACATTTTTATGAGCCTGCAGATTATGAAGTCCTTTATCAAGAAATATATAAAAGTTAAGCTTTTAAGTTATGTTTCAAATAGTGCATAAACTAGGCACCTATATTAATTCTCCAGTGAAGTATATGAAAGTATATGAATGAACACTGGTTTGAGCTACTCTGAAAATTTAAACCTTCTAAGTTTGCAAAACTAAGGCAGCRGGGTCAGTCCCTTGGTAGCTTCAAAACCAGAAAACATGCTATAGCTATAGTGACGGTCCTAAGTAGTTTGACTGGTGGGGGAAAAAAACCCAAAACAGAACACCAGATTAAAGACACAAGAATGATTAAAGAACACACCAATGGGGACCAAAGATTAAAGAACACACCAATGGGGACCAAAAAAAAAAGTGTTAATATACAAAGAAAAATATACTCAGGTATTTAAGAGGTAATTGCAACCAGATTCCTAGGAGCCATTCTTAGCAGCCATTTTTCATTACATTTGCTTTCTGGAACTTTAGGATACATGTACACACCAAGGATTCAAAAGCAGCAGCAAATGCTCTGCTGTCACATCCTTTCCCAGCTCCAAGTAACAGTGCAGACTGCAATAAGGGTATTTTGGCATCATCTCCCTCTAACTGAAATATGTATATTTAAAGATAAAATCAGAGCACTGAAAATTAGTTTAATTTACACTGTGGACATCTTTAGAGAATCCCCAGAACCCTTAGTGTGAAACATGGATTTTACCTGCCCTCAAAGGCTTATAGAGTTCGTTGGATGGTGTTCTCTGCCARCGTTCTTTAAATTTTGTTCGCAGGTCATTGTCTGTAGTTTCTTCTTCATCTAGTAATCTCAGAGACTGCAAGAGTAAAATGATACTTGCATTATAAGCTGTTTTAAACATAAGATAGCTTCAAAACAGCTAGTGTAGAAAAYAAAAACTGCCTATGCAGTTTGAATCCTTTATAAATTTATAATTTATAAATCCTTTATAAATTTAATTTCACAAATGAAAAACAGGCATCAACAGGACAAATCACTCAAATTTTAGAAAGTTTTCCCAATACTCCTCCCTCTACACCAACTCCTTAAAAAAAGAAAAAATTGTAAGGAAACATCCACATATGACAGGACAGTTTTTCTATGGGCTGAACACTTAAAAAGCATTTTTTCAAAGCACAATTAAAGTTACAAGCATTTGAATAACTGCACACTTTTTCTACTGTYATTTAAAGAGAAAAAGTCAGTGGAGATACATTTTAAGAAAGTTTTCATATAGTGGGTTTTAGTCTTACTTCATCTAAAATTTCTTTATTCCTTTGCAGCAGTTCAGGCAGATCTTTGATCAGCTGATCTACAGTCTGAATTCCCCCCTGTTCAATCACAGACTTAGACTTGTTCAAAATAGACTGAGGAACRGTATCCCCAGACACGTCTTCAATAGCAGCAGGAAGATTGAGGGAAGCCAACACACTGAAAAAGTCAATGGGTCAAATAAACAACTTTTATCCCGAAAACAATACTACTATACAAACTATCACACAGCCAATTATAATGGAATTGGAGTGCAATGTACTTCTGAACTGAAATTTCAAACTGAAACCACTAAATATATTCCTTGTATACATCTCACTAAAAATACATTTCAAAGCTCCTAAAAAGCTAAAGAAATCCTAGTCTTTCAGCATTTATAAACCATGGCAAATATTTCAAGTAGTAACTGTATGGTAGACAGAAGAAACTGCCTTAAGTTACATTGCTATCTCTCAGCTTGGTATAATCTTTTCATAATTTATTTCAAAAAACAAATAATTGGAGAAATGTATCATTTATCGAGTCACTGTAACTACCAAGCTGACCACTGGAATATGAAAATCCTTTTAGATTAACAGTACTGRAACTTTTTCTGAGCAAGTATTGGAGTGTTAAAAAATCAGGAAAGATAAAAGAAAAACAAATACTACTTGTTCTTAATAAGCTTTCAGTTTTAATACCTATAGAAAAGTAGCTCTAAATCCCCCTGCTATGGTTTAAATTGCCAGCCTACCATACAATAATGAAAGAACACTGCTATAATCGGGGTATCTTCAAGCTGCAAGGCAACCAGGGCTTATAGACTGTGCACAACCCCTCTTGAGAAACTTAATAGGAAGCCATATTTACCCATTTGCTAGATTTGTGGCTTCTCTCATCTGGGCTATTGACCTGTTCACCAGATCTGCCTTCCTCTGGTTATAAACACTCACAGATTGCTGCACTTGCAATGGAACCATCTTCTCAAACAGGTCTGCAATTAAAGTAGTATAAATTACACAAGCTGCACTATGAAAGTAAAAGCAAACAAACATCTTCACASTTTTTTTTATACAGGTTGTACTACGGAGACTGACCTAAACAGTTTAAGATGCCCTCCTCCTACTCAAGGYGTCTTAAAAACAAAAATCTATTTTTAAAGGCCTTTAGATCTCAGTTTTTAAGGCTGAAATTGAGTTAGAAATAATTTAAAGACAATACATTGAAACCAATCTTAGGGTTACAAACCAGATTTTCCTTAAGGCTTTATTTCTAATTTGKTTTTTTTAAAGGAAAAAGATGAGAAAGGGGAGAGAGAATTTTTTATAACTCATCTGTACAGTCAACAAACTGAAATTTTTCAACTTTATGGGAGACCAGCAACTAGATTAGTTAATATCATACAACTTATACTGTCTCCTATAGTACTACTCCTTCTGAAATTAGAAAGATTGGTCTAATATAGAAAACACAATTGCTGAGAGAATCTTGAAGAGAAAGCTCTTTAAGAGAATTGTACATTTCAGGTAACAATTTTCCATCTGTGCTTTATTACACTTATCATCAAGAACAGCAAAAACAAACTGGAGAAAAAAAACCAGCAGTTTCAAAAGCACTGTTATACACTTAATACAACGCAAAAAGTAAATGTTTATTTTTGAATGGTACAAATGAACTTTGCTGACCATATGTTTCACAAGGTAACAATTACCCTGTGCACTCCACACACTTTGCTTACCAGTGAATTTCTGACTGAGTGGAACAACAACTGGAGTAGACTTCACAAGACTGGCTTTTCCAATGGACTCCAAATCTTTCAGGTCAGGAACGCGGTCATGGTAAATGAAGTCATTGTCTTTTTTGGCAGCTGCAAGTGCACGGTTGATTTTGTCAACCAGATCTTTAACATTTATATATTCATCATAGCGAGATGCCACTGTTTTCACCAAGTCTGCTGCATGCTAAAAAAAGTTTAAAATATAGTCAAAATAGTAACCTATCTCCCTTTCAAATATTCTCAAGMAAACAGACAAGCATACAAAAAGAATTATCAAGCTCCACCCTGCACGAAGTTGGTAAGTGCACAATGCTAACTTTCAAGATGTCAACACCATCATCTTACACATCTCATGAGTATCAACAGACACACAGTGCACATAGAATTTCACAAATCAGCTGAAGTATCATTTCATATATTTGTTTCCAAATGATCAGGGGACTTGAAGGAAGTAGTTAATTTTAGCCAATTTTTTCCTCTAGAGTACTTAAAACATGAGCAGACGTTACTCATTACAACATCTGTGTCTGAGTCCCTCTAGAAACCAGATATAGGGGAAAGAAAACAATAAATAYTAAAAAGAGAACTGTTTGTACAATTTTAAAAAAATTACTCAGATTTAAAGCAGGGCATCAGCAAAAGAACTAGGCACAGATAAGGTAGAATTTCAATATTTGGGGTGTTTTTAACAACATTACATAGGAAAATTTATTAACAAACTTGTCATATTAGCTGTACTGAAATATGAAGTYTATGCAAACATAGAGACCTTAGACATCAAGCAATATCAAATTGCCCAAAAATCATTCAAATCTGTCTTTATAAAAGTTAGAAAGGTACCCTTCATTTTTGCAGCTGATAATAATTTGATTCATGTAACAAACATGCTCAGCAATTTCTGAACACATCCATTCTTAGTTATTTTGATTTAGAACTCTGAGCTATCTTTTCAGGATTTGAAGTTTTCCGTATTTGTCAGAGAAGAAAGTAACTCACCTGTAACCTCCCAATTTCTTCACCAAACTTCTTCTGTTGTTTTGCCAGGATAGATTGATGATATTCTGCGTTGGCTTGCATAATGCAGTGTTTTGCAGCCAGAACAGGAAACACCTCCTGGAAATAAAAATACTGACCAGGGGAAAGTCCAACCACATTAACCACCACAGACAACATGGGATGCAGGAAGAAAAAGGAAGAAGAAAAGGAAATTAGAATCACCCAATTAATAGTTGAGATAGGTTAAAACATTAGAAGTAAATGTCAGAGACGATGTGACTTTGCATGGGTTGAATATTTTTTATCCATAGTTGCAAAGTTCTTACTGTCCATTATTTTAGATKAATTATGATTTAAATTCAAACCATGAAGTCACAGCATTTACTTCAAAGACTAGAAATGCATGCATGAATTAGAAAGGACAGTTGCAAGAACACACCCAAATACCCCCAAGACAAAGCCAAGACAGTATTCTTAAGAAATGGAGGTGAGTGGAAAGATAGGTCTTCYAGGGGTTTTTTGGTTTGATTGTTTTTTTAATTAAACAAAGTAATTATACCTAAAACAGCAGCAGGCCTATCAAGAAAGTAACTACAATTATGAAAGGAAAGAACAAAAAGAAGACCAATAAYTACTGACATGGAAAGCAACTCCAAAGTCATTTTTAGACTCTATATAAATGCACTTATCTTTGCAGGAGTACCAACCAAGACTGAAGAAAACATTATGCTGCAGCACACAGTACAGACATGATCTTAGATCAAGGATTTGGCCTTACTGTTTTATTTCTTAAATCAAGGAGCACTGGAAAGCCAGAGTGATGTTTTAAAGAGCTCAGTATAAAAAGAAGACCTGTTTCTTCACATTTGTGCAAACTTGCTGCTTCCCCAGAGATGAAAAAATAAAATAATAGTAAGTGTAAATTTGGAAGACAAAGCTGTCTGGAAGGCCTTGCAACTGGAGYTCAATGCACTCAAGCAACATCGATGTTCCACTCTTAAACATGTAACTGGTTTCAGAGCTGGTGTTAACCAGCAAACCTTATGTTCTTTCAAACAATCAATGGACAGATTACTTTGCAACTGGAACAAGGAGCAGATCTACAGCTTAGAAAGGTACATAACAACAAAAAATAAAGCAATGGCTTTATTATATCTCACTGCCTGTCAAAAATGATCATGAACCTAACACCTACATGAGAAGCATTTAAAGAACAGGAAAAAGATCTTTCTAGCTCTTCCAAAACAAACAACATTGAAATGAACAGTCAAGATTAAATCGGGATATTTAATAAATATTTAACAAGGATTGTTTTGGGTGTCAAAAGAGGGCAGGCAGAAGGAGAGAGGACACACACAGACTTCCAGTCATGTTTTTCACTAGTAGGTGAGTGAACAGTACCTCTGTATTCATGCTGTACTCAACATGAGAGCAAATTTCACACGAAAACACTGAGACTAGAAGCCAATTAAGCCCAAACAGAAAGTGTTAGTTTGAAAACAGATTTAGTAAGAAATTAAGTTCTAAGAATGCATCCCTAAATAACACCATAAGCATTTCAAGTTCACTTTAATGAAATGCATTACAAATAAATGACCTTCATGTAATAAGATTCAACTTACTAAAAAAGCCCTACATTCTTTTGCCCCCTCGACTCTTCACTGTTTTTCAAATTAYAGGTTCATTTCCTTAAAAGCAGCAATATGTAAGCTTTTCTTGAGGATAGATATTTTAAGTGTATTTCATTAGGTACACTGTAAACAGTAACAGTTTTACACAATAACTAACCGATCCCATATAATTTCCCTGAGTTACTAACCTTGGGCAAAGTATCTTTATATTGACACTGTTTGTAAGCATCACCATAGTAATCTGCAGCTTGATTTGCTAGTTTAGCTATGATACCGTCTTTCATTTTATCTGTGGGGAGCAGGAAAAGAAACACAGAACAATTAAGATCATCATCAGTTTTTACCACTGAATAGGTGATTATTTCATCTTCAAACAGCAATAAGTGCATTTTATGGGTACAGCTTTACATTACAGCTCAAAGGTGGGATCCCACTCTTCTCTCTTCCCATCCAGCAGCAGTTKGCAGAATTTCCACCTTAATCATGACACCGAAGGCTCAGTCAGTGGTACAAGAAACCTTCTGGCAGCCACAAGCATTCATGCAAGACTAAGAGGGATCTTTTACCTCAAACCAATGGTAAGCTGCCAACAAAACCCATATCAATCCCACTCATAACTCTGGCAGCTTGCTCCTAGACCTTCCTTGTGCCAGCACAAGCACTTGTGCAGCCACAGTCAAAGAATTTAGCTGAAATCTAGTCAGCAAAATAGATTTTAATTTTCAACAAGATCTGTGCCTAACCCACTTCCATGTCAGGACCCTGAAAAACTGCAACAGAAGGGACTGTTCTTTTCACTGCAGACCACACCACTGCTAGCTTACAGAAACACCATTCCTCTGTTTCACCACAGAAACACAGCTCCTCTAAGTCATATACACTACATCCTACCAGAGTCTATGTGCCTATCTGCATGGTATTCCCTGCCTCACATTCTCACCCTTCTCCTGAAGTCAAAACTGCTCAATAAGAACACTCTGCAACTCCATCTACTTTTATAAAGGAGACAAGCACTATTGCTAGTGCAGGCCAGAGGTTATCTTTATCTCCTCCCAAGGGAAGGCAGGCAATCAATATAAACTCTGGCTGTCCATTCTAAAGAGCTGCCCTTACAAACAAGCACCCTCTGACAGAGGTGACCCTCAGGTACTGATAAACGGATAAGCGTGACTTGGACAATGGGGAGGTTAGAAATTCTGCAGAGTATGCCTAACTGCCAAAATTTAACCAAAAGAATCCCCAAGTGGTCTGCTCATACCAGCATATTCAGACATCTATCTACAACATTTCAGACACGGGCTGTGATGGAATGCATTTAGCTTCTATGAGGTAAACATGTTTAAGGTATCCCAGAATCCACTGTAGAACAGGATTTAGAGGACAAAGTGGGAGAAAGGAGCTTATGAGATCTATCATTTCTCTKCTAGAATGTTCCTGTCTGGTGCACAAACCACACAAAAAACCTAAATAATTTTTCTTTCTAGCCCCACTAAATGTGCAGTAGTTGCATCTTCCTTCCTACAGCTGGAGCATAAGAAAGGAAAAAATACTGGCATATTAACTACATTTCCATTAACAAAGAAAATGTTAGAGGAGACTCATTTGTCCAYGTAGACAGTTCAGAACACCATCAGAAGCTTTAGATTTTACTCAGATACCTTTAAAATATTGCAGCTACAGTGTCAGCCTTGATTCAGAAGAGCAAACATGCAGACACTTCAAGAAAACATTAAAAAAGGCTCACAAATTAAAGAACTGATCTGTAGTTATGTGATGAAGTTAGATATGACTGACCAATTTGGCTTTTCCAAACATTTCCTCTTTTATTTAACTTCTAAATAACCTGAGCTCTATCAGAAATACCATTAGAGCTGGAAAGTTGATAAATGAACTCTCTCACATGAGAGAAAACCCAGAAAATTCCAAGTAAGATACATGTCAATGCAGCAAAGAGCTTAATTTCCATCTTGAAATCTAACTTAGAAGGATTTGTGCTTGAAAAACAGGTTTTTGAAGTTAATCATGTTGTCAAACATGATTCTTCACAAAATGTCTTTCCCCCAGGGAAAAGAACCTAAATGCAGCAAAATCCACAGCCTTTCATAATCAGATGATTATTRACCTTACTATCCTATAAAAGACTTGTGGTCTTAGGTGTAATCACAAAAATCTTCAGTTCACTGGCACATCTGGGGTTTGGATTAGCCTTACTTTTTCTTCCTCATGTTTCGGAAAAGAGGAAATCAAGAGGGTGACAATCTATTCATCATGCAAAATGAGGGAAGCACTGGCTCTGTTCCTGAAGGAAACCGGTTCAGGTATTTGTTACACAAATTTATTTCAAAACAATGTCCAAACAGCCAGAKACTAAAATACTGCTACCAGCATGATAAAGAACAAACATAATTTATCAGTTGGCTGAAGGACAACAGTTTCTTGTTGAGATGCTCCTAAAGACAGAAASGCTACAAGATTTTTCTGGGATCTTCCCCAAGAAAACAAGAGACATCCCAGTTAAGATAATGCATGTCTTCCTCCAAACTACTCCAAATTATGTCAGGAGAGAGAGCCATTTGTAGGCAATCACATAGACTTCTATGTCCTTAGCTCTACTTTCACATACCTGTAACTTGTAGGTGAACAACTTTTTCTGAACAAAAAGAAAAGAGCAGGAGAGTAAGAACTTTTGTATCAAAGACAGTACCATTCCACAGAAAATTTCTTTGACACATAAGTTCTCTAACAGATAACTATTAAGATACCTAGACTGTGAATGAGTATTTAACAATCGACCCTTAACAACTAGGGAAGTAATTTCTTCTTCTACCTGCAGAATTTCCCTTTCCAAGATCAACTAACTTCTAAAAGTTAGATTTGGTCAAAGAGCTCCACTCTTAAAGGTAGAAATAATCAAACAGAATTTGTTTCCCTTGAACTCTTAGGAAATTTTCTTTGTTTCCAGCACAGCAATTTCTTTCCAAATTCTCATGAAATCACTCCCTAGACACATGAGGAGTGGAGTACTTGCAAAACACCTTATGTACCATTTTTAGTACTCTCAGTCCTTACAGAGAACATCTTTTGTTTTCAAAGAAAATGAAAAAAACATAATCAATCAATATCCTTTATAAACGTGAGGACTAATGGGTTTGGACATAAGGCAGACAGGACAACTGCATTTCCTGGTGGACCTTAAACGAATTCTTAAAGGACATCAGTAATTTCTGTTTTAATGACCCGCAAGCACCATGGGGAGAAGCAACAAAGGAAAACATAAAAACTTCTGAAAGGCCCTTCACAGACTCTTAGTAACTTAAAACACTTCTARGTGTGGAAGTTGTAATGTGCACTTAAATATACAAGTTAAAAACTAAAATATACCTCTTGTTGCTTTCAAAAAAAAAACTTCTTGGGCTTGAGCCAGCATAATAAGACTGAGAGTCCCAACTGTGTCTGGAGAGATGTCCACTGTAGGTTCTCGATTCAAGGCTGACAAAACTGTGTCTTTAATGTGTTGGAAAGCACCACTAGCAAACTAAATAAAACAAAATCAYATATTATCATCCATTTCTTTCATACATATTTTCTTGCTAACAAATACAATACATAATAAGAATACAAAAAAAAGAGTGTCTTTGGTATATGGTCTCTCAATTATTGTTTGGCCACKGAAACCAACTTATTGTGACTTCTTGTTGTTGCAGCCACTTATACTGAGACACTTATCATGATAGACTATAAATAATGGCATACTGGTTACACCTAATAGCCGAAGATTTTAATCCATTCCAGAAAGAAGAAAGACTATCACTGTAAAATCTGTGAAAACTRAAATTTATACTAGCTAAAATTATTAACTCTTAAGCAGAAGGTTTAGTTACCAACTTGCTCAAGATAAACAGTACAGAATTATATCCTCTGAATCTGATAAATAAATAKGAAACAAGACCAGGTACACAGCCAATCCACCTTTGTAATTAAGAGTGGGAAAATATGTACCTATGTATTTTTTTTATATGTGCATAGAYAGTGTTAAAATTGAGAGATACTTATTTGATGTTTTAAGAATACCAATTCYGAATTCATAAGCAGAAGCAGGGAGCCTCTGTACCTGATAGTGCTTAGCTGCAGCTTTTAGTCCTTCGTCGTTATCCAGATTCTGYTCTGCTGCAATCTGGCTTGCCAATGCTCCACAGTTGAATAAAACACAGGTCTTCTCATATCCCAAACTTGCCAGAGCTGCAGGCAAGACAGACAGTTAGCCAGACTGTTAAGAAAATAAACTTCAGTTCTCTAGCATCCTACACTACTATTAGGTATCAACAGCTTCAAGTAAAAGCAAATAAACAAAACCCCAATCATACTGAACTTTGAAAGCCTGTAAAGCCTTCAGAATGAAGATGATTAAAAGTCTAAATTCAGTACTTCTCTTCTTTTTAAAGTATTTTCATATAAATTTGAACAGAAAAAAAAACTGGAAAGAGAAAGAAGTTGTATTTATTTCCTGCAAACACAAGGAGTTTGAGCCTGATTTGTTTTAGTCATACAGAGACAATTCTGCACTGCAAATTCAGGGTCATGGAATGGATTTGGGACACTTGCCAATAGCCAAGTAAGACTAAATCCCTTTGAGTAAGTGAGGAGATGTTCAGTCATGTGTCATCATTCTTTAGTATTTCTATTTATRCCTAAGTGTTCATCATGATTAGCATTGCAAGATGACCATTGCCATTTTGAACCCCCAGGCAATGCCTGAAAAAAAAAGTTTGAGTCTTATTCTGTTATTATTTTTATTAAAGTTTTTGTCTTCTTTATATAGCTCTTTGTTAGCAGCTACTGGAATTATTTGCAGTTTTCTGTGTTCTGAATTTATATGAAAATACTTCAAAAAGAAGGGATACAAGAATAATTTCAGAGCACAGACAAATARTTCTATTGTTTTGAACAAAATGTCATATCAAGACTCGGTTATTGAAGCCAACTACCATCACTCCCCTTCTGGAAGGGACTCACTCATAACCACATTTCATAATGATCTTACTTATTTAGAACAAGAAGAGCTGGATTACCCAAAATTCAATTTCAGATTCAATTCTACTGAATCTTAATATTAACATGGGCAATTTTGGTTAGAATCAATTGGGGTTGTTCCCAGAAACAGGCTGAGTAGTAGACACTACAACTACTATCAGACTGCACATCTAATTGTGCTTCTGCATATCTATAATTAAAATCTCAATTTTATAAAAATTATTTGCATGATGCTTATTTGTTCACTACCAACATTGAAGTGATTAATTTGTTACCAATATAGGTGAACTCATTAAAAGCTATGTTGAGAATGCTAGAAACACTCATCAATTCAACTACATAAAAACGTTCTCAAAGTTTAGAATCATTAATACTTGATTTTTGATACATTCACATACCCAATTTGGCAGATCCTCCAAAAAGTGATCCTTTATCGAAAGCATCTTTCCACGTAAATGTTACACAGACCTGAAAGTTGTGAAAAAGATCTTTACCTCTAAAATCAAATATGAAAWCTTCACAAAATATCCCAAATTCATGTATTTATCCCTTACATTCTAATTGCATAAAACCTTTCATTCACTTGTAACATTACAGACATCCTGGAAGTTCCAGGAAATCATCAAGAGTTATTCAAAACAAAAATTATCCTACCTATTTTTCTTCCAGTTAGTTTGCTCAAAACATTTCAAGTAGACAAGACAAAAATTCTCAGAATTATCCTTCAGYTCTGTTCATATTCTGACCACCAGATAAACTTGTTTCCAAAGCAAGATACTCCTCTCCCAGTAAGTGTGATGGGCTGGACAGTTTAAGAAACTACCCAACTAGGCAGTTTGCAGTGTGCCAAACTACCATTGTATGTGGATCTGTTGTGCAAAATCAAAATCTACTCATTGTTATGAGTGAACTCAATAGCAGAATCATTGGGAAATGCCCTCAGGAAAAGAATGCAGGTAAAAACAGTATCTTTTATTTATAATTCCAGCATATACATCATAGGCAATGCAAATACTTCATAGAATCTGCTTTCATGTTCCACAGTTTCATTCCTCATTCAGCTGATCAACTAATTGCAAGTAACTGGTATCAAACCAAAAAAGATGGCAAACTTCCTCATCTTAAAGTGCTTGGGGAGAACTATTTCAGAAAGAGCAAAAGTACTGCTTGACAGTGTATTTTCCTCTAGCAGTAGTACTAGTGCAAACTGTTCTGGTCCCCAACTGCACTGCTGCTTCCACTGACTACATTTTCCCTTGAGTGGAAAAGTTTACAGAAATGCAGATCTTGCTAAGTTTTCCAGTCTTCCTTGTCTCAGGGTTTGTAGATTACGTTATTGAAACTTTTGCTCACTGAAAACTAAAAGTGCAGTTCTTGGCTGCAAGTGAATGCAGATACATGCAAAACTCATGTAATAGATAGAAACAGATTAAAGTTATTCCCTTACTCATAACGTATAAGACTGAAAGAAATTTTTCCTTTTAATCATAATATTACCATTTAAATATTATTGGATGAGTAAAGAAATATAATATTTGTAAGCACATTGAAAGAAAACCCACACCTTTTTCCAACAAAATACAGGAGGCTATGGATCTATTCCAGTCTCCACTTAAAGAAGCCCTCAACAGGCAGAATCTAAGCTGAATTTCTCTGTAGAGACATGATTCTAAAGAAATACRGTAGAAAAAACCCCAAACCCTAATGAACACCACACCTATGTAAAAACTATGTTATGCAGATGCAGGAATAAAGTGATAAGCTCTTAAACGGATTATTCTGTTAACTGYTGTGAATGAAACATCTGTCCTGCTTCAAAAAACAATTCCATCCATTTCTATATGTTTTCCCATAGAAATTATGATTTTAAAAGTCTTTAGAACATAGTATGAAACTGACTTCTTGGAAAGCAGAGAGTTGAAGATAAATCAGCAGAGCCCAACTCTTTCTGTCCTAGACCACAGTGACCACTAGCCGAAGTCAAAAYGTTTCTTTATCTGTAAAACAAAGGCAACTATAGCCACTAGAGGTGAAGTTTCAGCATAGATGTGAGCACTGACTAGAAAATAAATAGAGATTAGGAAAATAAGGCTCAAAGTGATTAGCTGGCTTGTTCAATAAAAGTACTCATTAGAGGATTAGGCACAGGCTTGGAAGTCATACACTGTAGGTGCCATGACTCAGTTTACAGGTTTGGTAGGTCTACTTACCTGATTTTCAGAGAATGGAAACTTTGGCTCAATTGAACACAGCTGGTCATAGTATCTAAAAAAAAAAAAAAAAAAAACAAAGAAAAGAACAAAAAAAAAAAAAAAAAAAGGGAACACACAGCTATTAGATAAATGAAATTAACAGTTTAATTTAACTGCCATGTAAGGTAGAGAAAAGGGCACAAAATCGTACACACAGGTTGAGAAGCCCACGTGTAGCAATGAAGGATTTGCAGGACAGACAGAATTTCTGTCTAAATGGATTTTTGCAGTAGATGAACAAGTTTAACAGGAGGCAGTTTTTCACACTTAACATGGGAACCCTGTCTCAGTTAAAACTAAAACTATCACAGACAAAGTGACCCAGATATCACTACCTGATGGATGGTGGATTAGRAAAGAGTATCATGCAAAGGAGTTCCTGTAATACATACAGGCAGACAATGAGTACATTAAGTTATTCTGCAAAAGTAAAATAAATACAGCATTCAACATAATATTAACATGCTACGTTGTACTCTCTTGATCTGAACATTATAACCCAATTTCAAYGTCTTTGAAATAGATGCCATTTGCCTTGCACAGTACCAAGGGGAGAGACTAATCCTTGCTAAAATTCTTTAATTGTAAACTTAATTTTCATTGGAGTACATTCTAGCAGTCACAGTGAATTAAAACCACAGTTTCTCTGTGCCAATATTTTGTGTAGTCGCAGGGGAAGATGTTCAGGAAYGGATGCCAGAAAGATAATATAATGAGTATAGCATAGTCCCTCACACAATCCATCCAGGYAACAGTAAGGAATTCAGTTTTCCTAAGTGGTGCCTTACAACTGCACCACTTGTTACACGACAGGCTGGATGCAGAACACAAAATCTTTAAACTGCCAGGAACACATAAGGAGTGAAGCCCATTTCCCTATACTCTTCCTGTAGCTCTTGCCATACAGGTACACACTCAATATTACATTGGTTAAATTATTTTATACATAATTTCTATTCCAAATATACAAAACACCTTGCAGTAATGGTTTTCACAGTCTGTGAAATAGGACTAACATAGTTCCCAGTTCCTTACACTATTAAACACTGATCACAGCAGGCAGAGACAGGAAATGCATATACAAGACCTGTGTTGTAGAGGCAATAAACATTTATTTAAAAATTCAAGAATTTTCAAAACTCACATACAATAAAAATAGTGTTAGTGTATTCTTCAGTAAATTATATCTGCCAACGCATATAAGACTACAGATTTCTGACTTAAGATTTTAAGACTACAGATTTCTGACTGAGCCACTGCAGTTTAAGACATAATATACTAAGCTATATCAAAAAATAGCAAAAACCTGCAACAGCAACAGGACTGCCACTAATAATTCAATTGAAAGAAACTGCTTCTTTTTTTTTWAAAAAAAGTCTGCAGATATTTACTGTGATGGCAGTTTAATCAAGATTAAACAATTTACCAAGTATGTGAAGGGTATAGTTAAAAATAATAACTAGCCCAGAAGATCACTGCAACCTACATATTTAAACATACTTCCTTCACTGCCTTTGTCTGGTCTTAACACACTTGTCTTCACATAGTATCACAAAGAAAAGAGACTGCATGCTGTCTCCTCTTGCCTCAGTTAAATTTGTTAAYCAAAAGCCACCACTAAAGCCATCTTCCCACATTCCATAAATACACTTTCCTCATCTGCCATGAGGATGGAGTAAAGCAGCAAAGCTTGTCAAATGTCCTTGTGAAGCCGGGTGCGCCCAAGCCTTGACTCCCTGCRAACAGACTGTTCTTTGTATGTCAACATTACCACAGACAAAATAAGCCAGAGAGGTTATACTCCTCCTAAAAAGAGCTTTTTGTTCAGTTGATTTTAAACAAGTTCAGAATGTATGTTATTATTTTCTTTATTATTTTAAGTATGTGATGTCATTTCTTATTAGAGAACTTGAAATTCTACTCAAGATTTAAGAGCTATTAAAACTCTGCAGACAAAAAAAGAACAGAGCACAAACATGTCAAGCTTTTCAGGTTTATACGTATAAATGGTGTAAATATAACAGTATGCATTTACTAAACATATAAAAATGGTAAATGAAGATATTAATCACAGAACAGCATAAAACAAGCAGTACAAAAACAGAAAATAACTCAAGAAWGAAAATCCACAGTGGATGTGCAAGGCACTTGCACATAAAAGATGAGGGTAAACATAAAGAGGGTAAACTTYTAAAACTAAATTTACAGCAATGTAGCTATCAGGATACCAAGAACACAAGGCATAACACAGATTAGTGTTGTATTTGGTTGTACCAGTGAGGAACTACAACTACAGCAGTGAAAGGGGGGCAGATGTCGGCAACACAGATCTAGTGCTCAACATACATTAATCACTCATCAAAACAGGCATTATACACTCCTAAATGCTAGCAAAAAACAGCCATGAAATGAGTTAGAAACCAAGGTTTAAATCAGAACTTAACTGAAAAATATGTATTGCATTAAGAAACTCAAATACTGCTCCTCCTCCAAAGATTCATRAAGAAAAACCTCCTGGAAAAGAACATCAAAACCACCAAAATCTGTCTTTGTTTTTCAAGATAAGAACCAGAGTCCTGAACTCGCAGATGGAAACTACAACTGCAATTTTCAGCCCTAAGATAAATTAAGCATTCAAAATAAAATCATGGACTGCTCCCCAATCCTCTTTTTTCCCCTGTTTCTCTTTTTTAAAAACAACTGCAGGAGTTGTAAGCCAAATTAAACCAATTAAATTTGCACCAGTATTCCATGTCTCTAGAAAAAGGAAATTAAGTCCAGGCTATCTCTAATATTGGAGGAAGCAAGGAATCCCTTGAAGCTATAATTAGAGTCAGAACTAAGAAAAAAAAAAAAAAAAAAGAAAAACACCATTAAATCAAATCTGCTATGACAGAATTTAAGGGGAAACATCTGTACCAAGCTCACCTACATCACCTTCAGAGCACTCAGTCTCACGAAACAAAGAAAGCTTGGAAGCAGGCTCAGGTCTTTCCCCGTTACCCAGTGAAAAGGCACAGTCTATCTCAAACGCTTCTCCAAGAGAAGCATTTGCATTCAGCAGCTGAACAACAGTACACCATACACTTTCAAGCTTTACTGGTCATTCCTTGTCTAGGAAATGGGGCTGCAACCAAGTTCATTTCTTCCACAGAAGAAAAATAAGTCTGTAGTACTTATATAAGTATACATATAAGTATATAAATACTTATATACTTAAATAAGACTACTCAGCAAAACAAGGCTTCCAGAAATTACAAAACCATGGGCAAATCCTAGATTAGTTAGCAGAAGACTAAGCCMGCATTTCTTAACAGTTAAATGGTCTACAATGCTATACTAGGTATTACGGTCTATAAAAAGCCACAAGGAAGTAGAAGTATGAAAATGAGAGCCATGTTCTAATTAGTACTTGTAAACTCATTTCACCAACAAACCACTTTTAAACTCCAACTTCAATTAAATTAAACCTAAGACTGACTACCACTCTTAAATAGCAACAGGAAAATACTGCAATTTGCAGAGGCAAGGAAATTTTCAGAGGAAACACAAGGCATTTGGGCACTTGTGTATCTCAGCTGATATTTCCAACTTCTGYAYGTGCARACAGTTTGACTTTTTAAAATAACTGTGCTTTACAGAATAATTAAGAGAATCTATGTCAGAATATTCTCACAGAGTATGAGAAAACTTATTTTCTAGCAACTGTAATGAATATAAATKGTCAGACTTGAACAAAACATTCATAACTTGTTAGAAATAAGGGAAAACATACATCTGATTGTTTTRTTTTCTCTTAATTTACAGTTAATTSAGGCCTTYATCTAATCTCACTTCCACTGTATAAGGAACAAATATTCTCAAGCAATACAATTAAAAATGCTGATGTTTTAAGAGAGGAACTTCTGCTTTGAAGGGATATCACTTCATGTTTACATCAGTTCAGAGCCACATTCGACTGCTCCAGTTTACTGCAACAGCATCTGGGCCCACTAAATTCATCYGCTGATCACCAGCAGAGAGAACAAAACACTGCATATGGAATTAACTCAAAACTGGCAATTATGCAATTACAAGTGGTTTCCTTGATTATTCAGAGGGAAAAYCTGAGGTGAAGATGCATACTATGGATAGTTTAATTTAATAATCTGCTGRTACTGAAAGAGGGAGGTCCAGCTCAGCCTCTTGGCTTTCTCCAACATTATTTTTATTTCTTTTGCACCAGCTCTGATGTTCATCTGACCTGCCACTGAACTGAYTSAAGTTGTTCAGAATGCCATGTATAYATTCTGCMTTCCAGAAAAGGCATAAGATCAGAAATGGAAAGTGGCTTCCTTCTTTAGGTGCTGTAGAGCAACTGTTACACAGGGTGAAGTCGCACCATGTGGCTGTGCCAAACAGGGATTTCAGACAGAAACTAACAACAAAACTGACTGGCACCTTCAGAAAAGGAAGCTCAACTCCAGCATGCCAAGGAACATAATAGTATGCTTYGCAAYTTGGCTAGCAAAATCCCTCTTWTAGTTCATAGATGCTCACAMATTCCCTGACCTTGARAGGCATAAACARAAGTACCTTCAAAAGTATACAGTCATAGACAGAAATAGAACAGGGAACTACAAAGCTACTGTAAAACACAATCAGTAGAGTCAGAGCTTTTACAGCCCACATACCCAGTGGAGGGATGGTAATCAAAAAACATCAGTAACTTACTTCACAAAACTTGACTTCTTTTTACTTGCACTTGTTAGGTGCATTGTGAACACCTCCAGAAAGGGATACACCATGTCCTCCCTAGGCAACCTGTTCCCGTGCTCTGTCACCCRCAACGTAAAAAATTTGTTCCTCATATTGAGTTAGAACTTCTTGTGTTTTAACTTATGGCCATTGTTCCTCATCCTGTAACTGGGCGCCACTGAGAAGGGAACAGTACCATCCTCTTAAAATACACCTTTGAGATATTTATGTGCATTAACGTGTTCCTTTCCAGTCTTCTCCAGATTAAGCAGGCCAAACTCATTGCAAGAGAGATACTCCAGACCCCTAATCATCTCTGTGGCTCTCATCTGGACCCTCTCCAATAGCTCCTTCTCTTTCTTCTCAATATTACAATCCATAAGTGCTCCAGAGAGAGGATGATGGAGCTGTAAGTCCTAATGCAGGTTTTATGCAACTTACCAGGAAGAAATCACAGATGAATCTTTTGCTTATCTAATGAATGATAACTTCAGCAAAACAGAGGCCCCACTAAACTTTCTGATAGAGAAGTAACTGTGTTAAGTAGAAAAAAAGAAAGGATGTGAACTTTGCAAATACATCAAGAAGCTGCTAAACATAGARAACAAAAGGAACTCATGCCGGTAACAAAATACAAAAACAAACCCACATACGAAACTGGAAAGGAAGTGACAAGAAAGCTGTAATAGCAAAAGGTAACAYTGACAAAAAAGAAACACGAGCTCTCTCTGGAAAGCAAAATGGTCTGTCATGGGTACAAAGTGGAAGCGGGGAAATTTATTTTTGAAGAAACTTTTTACTGCGAAGGAGGTGAAGCACTRGCACAGGGACTTGCACAGGGTTGGCTTTGGATACCCCAACCCTGGCAGTGCTCAAGGCCAGGCTGGGTAAGGCCTTGCGCAAGCTGGTCTAGGGAGAGGTGTCCCTGTCCATGGCAAGGACTAGACTAAGTTCTCTTCCAACCTCTTAACGTTCTGTGGCTTTACAATTTCTACGTACATCTCAGAGCTACTGGTACGACACAAATACTGGGAAGGCGATGTTGGTGGGGCCGAGGCCTCCCTCTCCCTGTGCTGCCATCATGTGACACCCCACGACATCCAAGCGGCGCGGCGAGGGCGGGGAACTCCAGGATGCTGCAGGACACCCGAGTGCCAGGGCGCCTGCATCCCACAGGCCGCCGGAGCCGGCCCAGCAGCCCCGGCCGCTTCCTCCCGGCAGGACAGGCCGCCCACACCTGGGCCCGCCCGTACCTGGCTTCCGCCCCGCCACGCCCAGGGCCCGGAGCTGCTGCCGGGGCCCTGCGGGGAACCAGGGCTGTAGGAGATGAAGGAAAGGGGGGGATGCCGGAGGTGGGGGGCCCCTACCTGAGGAGGGTCTCCAGTGCGCTCTCATGCTTGTCGAGCGGGCGGCCGAGCGCGCTCTTGCGGAGCCTGCTGAGCTCCTCGGCGGCGCGGCAGTGCTCGGCCTGCGCCTCGGCGCTCGGGTAGCTCTGCTGGATGAACTTGCACAGCGGCTTGGCCAAGTCCACCTCCGAGGCYTTCTTCAGCTGCACCGAGATGAAGTTCGTCATGGCCGCCGCCGCCGGGCGGGCAGAGCCGCCGTCGCCCCTCAGCGCACCGTCGAGCTCCCCGGGCCGGACCACCGCCACCGCCGCCGCGCTTCCGGGAGCGCCGCGCACGCGCGCGCCCGGCCCCGCCTCCCGCCGCGCTCCGCCGGTGCCGCCCCCGGGAGCGCGGGGATGTGGGAGCCGCTCCTGAGGGGAGCTCCGCGCCGCGGCGGAGCCCGCCGGTGATCTTCGAACGGCGAGCTCACCGGTCAGCAAAACTTTACGCTGTTTACACGTAGTAACGAACAAAGGCATCAGCGCTTAATGGTTCTAAATTAAATAACTTTTCCTATTAATTAATACTCAAACCCCTATTTGCTAGTTATAGCTGTCGCTTCTGGTGCTAATTAGTCATCAGGCGCAGTTCTTCCCTACRCTTGAGTCTGGGATCTGCGCAGCCTGTCGGCTTGACTCGAGGTGATTTTTGTCCGGGCAGACCATCTTGGGAATATTTTAAGAGATTAGCCAAGCGTCCAAAACAGGCAGAATGACGGGGTCTTTAGGGTTGGAAGGGAGATCATCTAYTTCAACCCTCCTGTCAAGGCAGGATCACCTGGAGTGKGTGTCAYAGGAGTGTGTCCAGRTGGGCTTGGAATGTCTCCCGATGGAAGACTTCATGACCTCCCTGGGCAGYCTGTTCCAGTGCTCTGCCACCCTCAGCGTGAAGTTCTTCTTCCTTTCTTTCATGTGAAACTTGTGTTTTAGTTTAGTGCAGTTGCTTCTCATYCTGTCACTGGGCACCAWGAAAAAGTGTTTGGCACCATACAATGCTCATGATGCAATAACTGTCCAGCTACAATTACTGMCTAACAACTTGAAAAAATGTGCAAAATTTAATATAATCCTCTATTCAAACCTTTGAGAGACTTGAGAGACTCAGATCTTGAGGGGCTTGGTATCATTCCCCACTCTGACACTACAAGATGTGGGGCTCGGTATCCGTGGGACAGCTGCATAGGAGAGGAGGGCGCGGTGCTTCTCAAATAAACCCCCGGGTGTCAGAGGGTCAGCACAGCCAGCAGGACCGTGGGGAAGGCAGCAATCTTGAGCACTCAAGATGTGACCATGAAGCTCGGCTGTGGCAAGGGAAAATCTCACCAGCTGGGAACAAAAGTGGCACTGGTGAAAGCAGTGGGCATGAGAAAGGTGGTACAGCAGTCAGGCGTGTAACACCTCCTGCTCTCAACTGACAATAAGGTTGATGCCTTAAAATGAAACAGGGCTTCTCTGTAGCAAACATGTCTCTATTGGCAGTAAAAGGAACAGATTCACATATTGTGTAATCGTGGATCAGCTGTTCACATCACGCCTGCTTTCTGCTGACTCAGCCCAGCATGGCTCAGACAAGCAAAACAGGCACTCAGCCTGCCAGGCTGGCTGGTCCGGGGACCAAAAGGGAATATTCAGCCCATGTGCTCATCTTCCCCTTTCTTCTGCCCTCTTTCCAGACAGGTAAGGCTCCAAGTCTGAGATTTTCATAAGCTACCAGGTGATGACACCATAAAAAGGATGGTGAAAATGCTTTTTAAATTACATATTTGTTCTCATGTTGTAGCAGACCACAAGTTTTACTGTAAAGGTGGTGATCCCTCTGTACTGAAAGTGTCTTTGTCGTCTCATGGACATCTAAGGTGGTGTGGTATAAAAGGAAAAGGGCARAGCCTGGGAAATCATAACCACTCCTGTCACCACTGGGAGGGGCAGCTTGTCCAGTATTAAATGTTCCCATATGCAATCCAAAGGTGCTGTGGCAACAGCAGCCAGGCCCCTCCCAGGCACAGGCATACAGAAGGAGGCAATGGAGTTATCCTTGTTCTGCTGCAACCATCACCTTATGTGGGCCCCAAATGGGTATCCTTTGGAGCTCTGCCAGATTGCTTCTGTTGCAAACCTTGCTATGGTCACAAAAAGAGGAATATATATGTTAACATATATAAAACTCCTGCACCCCTTCACTGAGTAAATCCCCAGCTCAATTTCTCATAGGTCAATCAAAACCAAGTATTAATTTTACATTAAAAAGCAGTATTTTTATGCTACAATGAATACAAAAAGTAGGCAGTCATGCCATACTTCTATCTGGGTGCTTGAGTTGCTCAGGGCTTTTTTCCCCAAAGTTTTATTGCCCACGTGCACTTGCAAGCATTTGGTCTCTTAGCTTGGATACACTTTCCTGTTCAGGAAAAACCTCCACCCTCACAACCTCTCAWTCTGATTAATCTTAAGATACACTCTTAAGTCTGGGCAGTTTCCAACATCAAGACCTTCTGGAGTATAGTGAGCCTACGTGTCATTACAAGATACATGGCTGCCTATATATGGAAGATGGAAGCCATCAATACCTTCCAGTGTGATACTCATAAACATGGRAAGGGTGTGAACAGGGAAGGGCAAAAACTGCAGCTATGAGATCATTGTTCTACTTTAGAGCCACAGTGACCTTTAGATGGCTGTTGCGTAATGAAGGCAATGACTGATATTTTGCATTCCTGAACGTCCACCAACACAGCACAGAAATTKTTCACTTTGTCTTAGAACAAGTTATCAGAATTTCAAACAAGTGATTTGCTTCTTTCCCACAGACCTGTTAATAAATCCACTGAAGGCTTTTTTCTGGTTATTACAATGTTATAAGTAGTAATGACTTATCTCCTTGTTACCTCTGACTAGTTAAGTATTATTTCCCAATTTAAAGATGAGGAAGCTGCAGTCAGTAGTTATCAGTAGAAGGGGCAAAATCTACATCTTCTGACTCAGAGTCCTGTGCTTTAAGCAACAGACTATACTTCCTTCTTCAAAAGGTTTATGATAGTATCTAAGGAAGCCACTTTAAGACATGTCTTAAATGTCTGAAGTGATCCAGCATAAACATGTTATAGGCATTTTTAAGCATTACTACAGTCACTGATATATTTAATTTTAGACCATTAGATGTCCCCAGCTTTCCTCTTTTTCCTAAATAACCATTTCTGTTCTGTAGAGCTTGATCATGCAGCTTTATCCATAGTGTAAGATTGCCCTGTAGCAATTGCCCTAATTGGCAGAGATGCTATACCAAACAAATCAAAAATCAGCAAGGAAAGTGATAAGGCAGCTAGTTGTTCATTTCATTAAATCTGATGGTCCTCGTGCCTGAAGTTTTATTTTATCACTCAGATCCAATCTCATTTTGACATTCCTAACATAATTTTTTTTTGTGACATAGGGCAAGGACTAAGTATATTATCACCATTCTCTTTTGACCATGAGTTTCAGGAGTGATTATCATTGGTTAACAAAATGAAGGAATACAGAAAAAAAGGTATATGTGTGATTTGATCTAAATAACCCATATAGTTCTACTGTCCATTTAGAAGAAATGGTAAAATTTTTATGATTTATGAATAAAATTTCTCCTTAGCATTCCATAATCAAAAGCATGAGGAAGATTTCTTACAATTTCTTTCAAATTTGATACTCCTTTACTTTTTGTTTCAAAATTTAGAGGAATTCTTAATCCTAATTTTCTCAATTTTAATTAGTATTCATAAGATTTTTGTATTTCTCATATGTGAGGTGGGACCTGCACCAGAAGATACGTTGATAGCAAACTCAGCTGGGCAGGGGCCATGCTTATCTTTGTGCTTGTAGAGCCACAATCACAAGAATGTTCARTATATCATCCTACTGCTGTTCCAATGCTAAGTAAGAAAAACGCATCTTCAGTCTACATTCTAGATGYGATAAGGTCAAGATGAAGAAGTGAGAGGCTGGAGAAGTGGGAAAACACGTCTAAAGCATCACTGTTGGTTTGCTTACTTAGGGTAGGCACTTGTGCATAGTGGCAATTACAACCAAGTTGCCTTMCAGCCACAAACTAAAGTTGGTGACTGTGTCTGATTTTTGCTTGAGGAGAGGCTGTTGACAGAATGGTCTAGAATTAGAAGAGCATCACATGCTTAATGGCACAGAAGAGAACATTGTAGATGTTTATAAAAMGGTATTATACATAACCTGGAAACTGTTGACCTAGGTAAATAATTTTACCTGCTAATTTTACCAGCATGAGCTGGCAACATGCGCTTGCAGCGCAAAAATGAACCTCACCAGCCTCAAAGCCAGCAGGACTAGGGAGGGGATTCTGCCYTCTACTCTTCTCTGGGGAGACGTCACCCTCAGTGCTGCATCCAGCTCTGGGACCCCCAACATAAGGTGGTCATGGACCTGTTGGACAAGTCCAGAGGAGGTCACAAAGATCATGAGAGGGCTGGAGCACCTCTCCCATGAAGAGAGAGTGAGAGGACTAGGGTTATTCATCCTGGAGAAGGCTCCAAAGAGACCTTAGGGCACTTTCAGTACCTAAAGGGGGGTGCAAGAARGATGGAGAAGGACATTTGACAAGGGCATACAGTGACATTACAAGGGGYAATGGCTTTAAACTGACAGAAAATACGTTTAGATTAGATATTAGGAAAAAAAATCTTTGTTGTGCAGGTGGTGAGATACTGGAACAGGTTGCCCAGAGAACCTCTGGATGTGCCATCCCCAGCAGTATTCAAGGTCAGGTTGAACAGGGTTTGAAGCTACTGGTTTTGTGGAAGGTGCCTCGGCCCATGACAGRGGGGTTRGAACTAGACCAGTTAKAAGGTCCCTTCCAACCCAAACCATTCTATGATTCCATGATGATTGTTGGTGAACTAGAGCCAAGCAAACAAGSAATCCAACCAGCATTAGTGCAATATTTTCCATAAATGCTTACAAGAATATTAACTATTAGTCAATTACAGCACAGCCTAGAATTTTCCTCAAGTCTCAGCAGGCTTCAAAAATATTCCRTATAACTGATCACATAATGATAGAGCCTGTACTTGTTAATCATATACCACAGAAACAGGAACAAACAGCTCTTCCCTGTCTCACATCATGGTTTAAAGTAGTGGGTCTTCATATTAAGCACCAAGGCATTGCTAGAGTGTTTTCATGTAACCTATTAAAAGTGTTATTATTTTTACTGCTTAGACTATTCATATCATGGTGATTCTAGAAGATTTACAAAGCAGAAGAGCTTGTGGAAGACAGCAGCA